TGTGTGTGTGTGTGTGTGTGCGCGTGTGTGTGCGTGTGTCTGCATGAGCTCATGTGTGTGAACTTGTCTTGGGTGGTCAGCGATGTATTTAAGTATTTAACAACTGCCCCAGAAAACTTGTTTCAAACTCCCGCATTGCTTCAAATTGTAATTTTTGTGGTGTGCGTGCTTGTGTAAGAGTGTGTTTGCCTGAGGCAGCTTCCTGTCTGCCAATCCACCTGTCACCAGCAAACAGCATCCAGCACATCGAGATTAAACATAGGGATGCTGGTACTGTACGCTGGATATTTTGGAAATGTAAGAGCCGAGTAAACATCAGTATGCACAGGCATGATTAAAGCATTTCAAATGTTCCCATAAAGGATCATTCTGGGACTTCAGAGTGTTCCACAACCTGGGTGAAATTCAAGGTAACGTGTGCTTCCTGATAAGCGTGCAGACAGATGGCAGATGGTGAAACTGCAGACAGCAGCAGAAAACATGTCTTTTTAATGATAACTGCAAAGGGAACTGTCGGTGGGAATGGACTCAGTAAATGGTGTTTCCTGTCTTTCCCACTGTGTCTCGAGATGTTCAGAGTCCTTTTTTGGTAGCAGTTTAAGAGACAGGTACATTTGGACAGCATTGTTTGATTTCCTTCTTAATACCCAAGTTATCTCGTTTCCCCAAAAGAAATCATTAAAGTTTCATCTTATCTCAGTCACGCAGACACACAGATGGCAGCCGGTAGAGATTTAGTGGACAAAAGGAGTAATCCTTGATGTTTATCTCAATGGTGTTAAGTACAATAGCATATTATTTGCAAGGACTTCACAGGCATTAGTGGAAACCTAGTCCTCTTATGTTCTAATGGGGAGTAAAGCATAAACCTGTCGGCCATGTGTCAGATTCTGTATGAAAGAAAACAATAGAAAGAAAGTAACTGAAGGTCAAGTTATTATGCTCATCTCTCTCTCTGTAATTCTAAAAAGCTGTAAGGTTACATTGACAACATTGTTCTCATTTATTTAAAGCTAAAGCTGAATGTTTTGGGGTAATTGTCCATCTGAATGTATATTAGTGAAGTCAGTGACACAGAAGAGGCCTCAAGAAGATGCTGCTGCATTTTTTATTGCACAATTATACATTTGAGTGATCTGCAGCGACAACGACAGTCTTTTAATCAGAATAGCACTCAGCTGAACATATACTGTATCTCAGCCAAGGCCAAACAATCCCCTTAAATGTTATCAAGCCTGAAAAATATGACAACAAAACAAAGCAGATCATGAAATTATAATCTCCATTGAAGGAGATCCATGTGTTATTCCTTGGGTGGTTTGTGGACATGACAAGAAAGTGCCGTAACATGTTAAAGAAAGTGATCCTGGATCTGCCCCTTTGTCCAGATCCATGTCAAAATGAAATGGGTTCTTTCTTCGTCCATGTCATATCCTTCCTCTAAGTTACAGAGAAATATCTTTAGTCTTGCTCACAAATAGGCAAATTAACAAACAAACGGACTGAGGTGAAAACATAACCTCCTTGAACGAGGTAATCAACAGTACTTTGGGTGTTCTGCTACTAGCTCTACCACTGAAGCTGTCATCACATGTTCAACAGAGCTGAGTAATGTTAGGTCCTTTACAATATTGCTGCTAAATAGATGTAAAACAGTCCCAGTGCCTAAAAAGTGCCACAATCAATACTTATTTCTCAAAGGTAAATTGGAAGATTAAGTTTAATATCACAACTGTTAACAGTTAAACATTTACTAAACATACAACTATAAGTGTGCCTCAGGCTCTTCGTCAACTTTGCTGTTTTTTTTTTTTTTTTTTTTTAGATATTTCTTCATGTCCTGGTCACGGCCACACTCAGAGTGTGTGTTGCCAACAGAGTTAAGTGTAGTGTTAACTAGACACGTCATGTGGTGCTTATGTTGCCTCTAAGCAGGACAACTATTTCAGTTCGAAGCTCAGGCACCAAAATCTGTGGTGTGATTTGGTCCGTTAAGTAGTGAAGGAACTGGATTTCGGTACGGAATATTAACAGCTCTTAATGTGGCATGCTGTCATATCAGAATTCATACATGATGGAAAGTGCTTGAGCAAATATAAAGTCCTGTTTGTTTTCATCTGTGAGGGTGTTGTCCAGACACTGAGGATTATTTTGAGTTTCCAGTGCAGAGATTCTAGTTATTTCCTTTTTCTCTACATTCAGTTTAGTATCCCTCAAAATAAACAGCTTTTCTTGCATCACTCTGTTCTGATCCACTGGAGAACTGTGGGCTGTACACAGTAAATAAAAGGGAGATGTTTGTCAGAGTGTGTAATCTTAACCCGTGCGTGTTTACATGAGCTTCAACCTCGACTTTTCCCCCTCTAGCTCGCCTTGTATACTGCAGTGTGGAGTTGTAAACAGCACCTCCAGAGCTGTTTATCTCTGATAGTCACAGTGGGCTTGTTCCTCTTAATCTCATGTTCCAGGCGCAGGACACCTCCGGTACATCCTGTTTATACCAAGGCCTATATTGTGGACTGAGTAGTTTAAAGCTGGTTTACTCAGGGTATGTGTGCAACACTAACCAGGTCTCTGTGTGTGTGTGTGTGTGTGTGTGTCTTTCAGGTTACACGTGTACCAGTGGAGAGCTGTGAGCAGTACACCTCCTGTGGAGCCTGTCTGGGATCAGGAGACCCTCACTGTGGCTGGTGTGTGCTGCATAATGTGTAAGTGCACGTTCTGTTTACTACGTTGTAGCTGTAGCTCTGCAGTTAATTATGATCTGATACCTGGACGGACAGGGGTGTGTAAAACCCATGAATTCCATTTGTCTCAGTCATGTTCACAGTAACAAGGTTCTAATTATGTAGATGCGTCTGCTGCTACATTTGTGTTTTAACACATCAAATGCCACAATTACCGACTTTATTAAAAGGGCTGAGTTTAAGAAAAAAAACATGGAAATCCATATGTATTGATTCTGCTAACATATACTTTATATGTGTATAGTGTCGATATGAAACTTCATTGTGTGACTAAATGACAGCCAGTGCAGTGCATACCTCTGCCAGGGCCCTACAGTCTCCTCAAATCCAATCAAGCTGCACCAAATTGTAAAATGTGCCCGATCTTGCAATGTCTAAGTAGGAACAAATTAAATACTGTACATGTGGAACAAAGAGAGCTTGAGAGAGAGAGAGCCAAATCTTAACTACCTCCCCACTATCACACAGGGCCAATGATTTGTGCCTCATGGTTTGTCATTTTCCAAAAGTTGCTATAGACGCAGACAGGGGTTTCTAATCATTTTTTTATGATTGCCAGCTGTGTTCCATAAACGTCTTTGTGAAATATTCTACTTAATGCTACAATTAGATATGATGGAAATATTCTGCTCCTGAACACTGATACCTTACTATAATCAATAATACCTGAAGCCTACAGCACGTGGGGGGGTGATGGAGGAAGCTGTGGCAGCAGATGGTTTGGCCGACATAAGCAGAGTGGTCACTGACAATCTCCAGTATTGCCACCTGTATTGATATGATTGGATGTTACTGGTCAGATGATAGCCAACAACTACTGAATGAGTCACTGATTGTAAAGCATGAATGAGCAGCTGGTGGAAATCAGCCAGTTCAATGTCTGTGCTCCACCGGAACTGATGCTCTATTCTATTTGTTTTTTTTGTTGTTTTTTTCCACTCTTGAGGAAGCACAGCCGGTTTATTAAGCTCAGGAATCAGGATCACAGACTAAATCACACGTTAGACGTCCAGGTGTCATTTCAGATTCTAATTTGTGTTTTAAAACCCTTATATTAGTCGGCTGACTCAGCTTTCATGACAAAGCACTCTTTTTATCATAACAGAAAAGGCTCATATTGATAGTAGATTAGAATACTGCAGTGCACATTCAGCCCACCTCCCTAAAAAAGCTTATAAAGAAATAGGAGACATACAGAATTCTGCAGGCAGACTTTGAACTAAGAGGAGAGAGCACATCACTCCTGTCTTAGCTGAACTGCACTCTGCTCCCTGTTTCTTTTAGAATTGATTTTAATGTCCTTTTAATTACCTACAGAGCTCTTAATGGCATAGCAACCTCGTACATCTCTTACCTTTTAATACCCTGTCAACTACAAAAAGCCCTGAGATCCTCCAAAGTGCCCAAAGTACTGCGAGGAAAGAAAAAAGCTGCTCTCAAGAACAATGCACCACGATGTTGAAACAGCCTGAAGGTCAATTACTCAACCTCTGTGGACGGCTTTAAAATTAATTAATTGACCTAGATTTCAAATGTTTGATCCTGAAAACACATTTTTCTTTCTTTATGTTTTAAACTTTCATTTTAATTAATTTGTTTAAATGTATTGCGTCTTTTTGAAGTTGTACTTATTTGCTCTTGCATTACTGGTGAACCATAGAGCGACTAATGTGAACTCTGCTTATATATTTTTCTAAATGTCAAAGTACACATAAGCTACTTATTATTGTCAGGATAACTAAGAACCAGACTATGGTTTTGTCTCTTTCCAACCAACTACAATTCCCCCTTCAGACCCAACACCCATGATATTGAATCATGGTGTGAATTTAAGATTTCTGATTGATTGATTGATTATTGTATCTTTTTCTTGTAGATGCTCGAGGAAGGATCACTGTGAGCGAGCAGAGGAACCTCAGCGTTTCACCACCAGAGTGGAGCAGTGCGTCCGACTCTCCGTCCATCCTGACACCGTCTCTGTCACCATGTCAGAAGTGCAGGTGCGGTGAATGGTTGTATTTGTGTCTTTCTTTTTGTCCTGTCTTTAATCTACAGTGTGGTCTTTTTTGTGCCCTCAGAAGCATCGTGAGCAAGAGTAGAAGAGCTAAAGCTGGAGCACGGGCTATTTGAGTGCAAGCACATGGTTTTGAGTGAAAGCTTTACAAAGTCTGAACATGAAATCAATCAGTCCCGCTCTCAATCGGAAAGACCATACTTTGGAATAAAGATAGGAAAAAAACAATATCAGTGCGACATAAGAAAGATGGACAGGAAAAGTAAATAAAACAGATGAATTATATATTATATTAATATACATAATATATTAAATAAAGCGTGTTCTTATTTCATCGCTGGCAATCTGTCCATAGTTTTGAGAATGAGCTGAAAGTCAGTTTTGAACCACATACCTGAGCAGCATTGTCTGCTGTGTGGTAATAGAAATCCTCCTTATTACATTACCACTGGTGTATATCAGTTCAATTGTGTTGTCTCTCACCTTCTAGTTGGTACTTCAGACACAGAATGTGCCCAGTCTGTCTGCTGGAGTGAACTGCTCATTCGAGGACTACATAGAGACGGAGGGACGCATCTATGGTGGACGCATCTTCTGCCTGTCGCCCTCTACAAAGGAGGTGGCCCCCATCACACGAGACCAGGGTAAAAAACTGTCTGCCTGACAAAAGGGTGTCTGTAAAAATCACCTTCCAGATATCTGGCTGGCTGCCTGTGGGAAAATATTTCATTTGTAAATACCTGAAACCAGCAATGCATATAGATTTACAATGTGTTTGATATAACATACTTAAAAAAATATATTAATAATAATAAAAGTGCCACATATAAAAATGGAACTAACAATTTTTGCAGTAATAATAAAAAAAATTTAAACTGATCATTTTGATTTTTTTTTTCTTAAAACAAAAACAACCATTTGGCCTTTTTACCCAAAGTGTTATATCACGCAGAGTTTTATTTTCTTATTTATTTAATGATCTACTTTAATGACTGTTGTCAACAGTCGCCTCCTCCTCTCAGGCTACTTGAAGAAGCCAAGTGATTGGCTGAGAGCTGGGAGGGCGACGACGCCACAGTCATGAAATGTGACAAAGCAATTTGTTCACATGATGTTATGAATTAGTCCTATTGCTCTGGAAGCTGCACTCTCTGAAAAGGATGCACAAATATAATTAGTTTGCTTCATTCAGTCTGTCCATTCAACTGTTTGAAACATGAAATTATCCTTTTTAACTGCAGCCAGTGTTAAAATGAGAAACAGCTGATTCTCAATCTTACTGAATAAAAACCTTTAAATACACTGTATAAACCGAGCTGAACCGATTCCTCCGCAGAGCAACTTCTCCACAAATCCCATTGATTCTGCTCCAGGCTCCCTTTACTCTCCAGCAGAAACACTGTGGATCCAAAATGCAATTTAGCTCCACAGCAGAGCCATCCTACACGTGATCGTCTCGGTCTTATAGTAGAAATCTAAAGGAAACAAAAGAACTGGTCTGATGGCCTTAATTATGTATTTTTCATAACAAATATATGAACTAAACATGGAAAGCAATGTAACATGTTACATGTTTCATCTTCAACTACATGTATCTGCTCTAGAGGGAAAAAAACACTATTAACAACACAAAATATTTCAACTAGAGAAGCTGCAGTTCAACAACAATAAATAGCAGTTGTAGAACAAATAATTAAAAAAGGTATGGAGTAGTTGGATCCAACTCAAATTCAAATTATGTATATTTAATATTTAAATGTGCCTGATTTTTTAAAATCAAGATTGGTGCATTATTTCCCAAATACATTAATTCAATGTTTCTATGTCAAAGAAAGTAAAAAAAAGAAATCACTTCTCCAAGATTAGTGGAAACATAGCTCATCATGGTTCTGGAAGTAAAAAGTATATGTAAACAGAAATGGATGACAACTATGATTGCACATGATCCTGGTTTCATGAAACGTTGCCTGCACACTAATAATGAGTGAGTTGTACACTATCCAAATACATTTGGAAAATAGGACTAATAAGATAACATGTACACTTGCAGGTGATCAACGTGTGATAAAGTTGTATCTGAAGTCGAAGGAGACAGGAAAGAAGTTTGCCAGTGTGGACTTTGTTTTCTACAACTGCAGCGTCCACCGATCGTAAGTTGTTATTTTTTGTTTGTTTCTTTTTGTGTTTTAAAACTTTTTAGACTTGAATTAGAAAAGGTAGAGAAGATCGCTCACTCTTCACATGGCATTTTATCCTAATTAACCTGAATGCTAATCCACACTCACAAGGGCATGGCACACCCAGCAGGACGCAGACTGGTGGGAAGCACTGATCAATGGAGTGCTGCCTGTAGTTCTTTCACAAATGCAACAGTGATAAAATGTTGGCCTGAAAATAAGTCCTATAATGGGGGAATGGAGAGAACAGCAGGCAACCTGTGCTAATTCATTATTCAATGTATTCAAGCTTTTTACAAATCAATTACTTAATTAAATCTCAAGCAATGAAGGGAGCAGTGGTGACTGAAATATAAATTGATTCCTAACCATGCAAGACATAGAAGAGCAGCCAAGCTGAGGAAGCTAAAACATGCCATTTGTGTCCCTTGAAATGAATTATCCCTTATGTAAGTACTGGAATACTGATTGACTTTCCAGCAGTGGTATGGAAACAGATTTCACATGTTGTGCAGTTTACTCTGTTAATAAAGAAAAAACACGGAAGTCAGGAAAGAGCGAGAGGCCGCAGACCACAGGCTAAATCCACACTACTATGTTTATGTTTGGAACACATCAACTCTTCTATGGATAAATTTGGTGTCTACACTACCCTGGAGTTTTAGAGCCACGTAAGAGAAGCTAGCCCCACTTTAGTTTCAAATGAACAATTACAAGCATTGTTGACCCTGTTGTCTTTGCTAAAAGCTATTGTGCAGTTAAATTCTGAATTGTACACGTGATTACACGTGTAGGAGACAAGGTATCATTCAAGCAATCTGCAACAATTCTGCAATTATCAACCAAATGCTTCCTGTTTCCACTGGCTCATGTTTCATGTTCATGTCCAGTGGTCATGTGATATGCATTATCAAGTGTGCTAGTATGAACAGGGATTCAAACTGACACAGAGCCAAAGTGCTTTTGTGAAGAGACATTGTTTTATTTTGAAAAGCTGTTTTTTTATTTTCTGCATTATTTGACATGATGAAATATTATTTCTACAGTAATATTTCAAAAGCTTTAGAGGTGCTGTACTGTTGTTTCTCTGGTTGTAAGACAAACTCAGTTGTCTTCGTTACAAACTCACAAGATGCATTTGTGGTTGTGGTTGATTCAAACGTCTCCGTATTTAAACGTGATGCTATGAAGAGCTCCAAACCGACTCGGAGTTTAAATTCCAGTATTTCTCAGAGAAATTGCACTGTGATATTTTCTTCAAACTGCTCAGCATTGCCGCTAGTTCTGTCTTTGAACCCCAGTGACAAACACTTTCAGTTCAAAGACAGGATGGAGGTAGTAGAGAGAGAGAGAGAGAGAGAGAGAGAGAGAGGAGCAGTGAGATCAGCCTGATAATGAATGACGAATGTGTTCTTAATTGATCTGCCACGTTAAATAAAGGTTAAATGAAAACAAATAAAATGTCATTCCCTAAATGACTCTTGGCTGCTCCGCTAAAGAAGCTGAGTGAAATTCATTCACTTGCATTCTCTCTCTCTCTCTCTCTCTCTCTCTCTCTCTCTCTTCCACCTGGCACAAACTCACATCTTAATTTGCTGTAGGTGTCGATACAGACCAAATAAAAACAAATCTGCAGGGTTCTCTCCCTCTTGCCAAACATAAACTGACGACAGCTTTACTTCCTTTCCTAATGTTTATATCATTTAAAAACTCCGAAATAAAAATAAGAGCCTTCCTAAAAAACAAATGTTACACAGATACAATATCCAAAGGGTTAGTTGGGCATTTTTTGGTCACTTTTAGGTCTTTTCACAATCCATAGTTTTCATTTGCAGTTTGTCACTACTAACAAAACTGCAACTGTATATTTAAAATAAGAAAACTAATTGTATTGATCCAATCTGTGGCTAGCTTACCTACTCTGTGGAATGCCACTGACAACAGACAAAAGTTTCAGTATTCATATTTATTTTTTAAACTATGGCCTTCATGCCGGCATTGTATATAGTTTATCTGATTCTCCATCCAATTCCTTTCTTTCTTTCTTTTCTTTCTTTCTTCTGTCTCCTCCATTTCTATGAATGTTCCTGAATGACTGGAAAAGTTGGAAACACTAACATGTAAAAACTATCAATTATTACAAAACCTTTGATTCCTGGATCAGCAGTGTTACAAGCAGCCAGTAATTAGCTGTGCAAAGTGCACTTTTGCTTACTGTCAAGCCACCATCCTTCCCTGACTACCTCCCTCTTCCTCATGACTCGCTTTTCCTGTCCTGCCTTCCGACTGTCTTCTGCTTTCTCTTCTCCCACTTGCTCATTTTACAAGTCTCCCACCTCCATCCCAAGACCCCTCTTAGCCCTCTCCACCCACCCCCCTACCCTTTTTTCTTTGCCCTGCTCTCGTTCATCAAACCCATTTATTGCCTGCACTCTGCTCTTCGCCCTGCATATATCTGCATAGTAATAGGCCGTTAATTAGACCTAGCGAGGGCCTGTGTGGAGATGGTCATAATGGACTGAGCTTGAAGAGAGAGCTCACCTGGGCCACTTCTCAGAGCCTCCAGGCCTAGTTCAATGGCTCTGATTCATTTTGTGATTGTGTGTATGTGTGTGTGTGTGTGTGTGTGTGTGTGTGTGTGTGTGTGTGTGTGTGTGTGTGTGTGAACATGAGCAGTTTCTATTTTATGGGTTAGCACTATAGTGTGATATTTGTGAACATGCAGGAGGGGTTCCTGTGTGAGTGTGTGTGTGCGATGCTCCATTCCCCTGATTAACCAGCCCTCCAAGCCGCCTCCTCCCCTTGTTGCTGCATAAACAGACATACTGCTGTTTAAGCCTTTGATGATGGCTTTGCTGGACCCTTGAGGCCCCTGTGCATGACTATACCTCCATAGAGCAGTTATTACAGCAGAGGCTGTGACAAAACATCCCAAATTATACACTACTCCCCCTCTGCCGTCACCTTTCACCTCCAAATCTTTGACCCCGCCTGCAGAACGTGGGGCGCCAGACTCCAGTGGCAGATAATGGACTTTTCCTCGTGGGCGTGTTGTGGCCCAGACTCCCGACAGCGGACGTAGAGACATACAGCATCAGCCCACAGGCCCGGAGAAGGCTTGTGTGCAACTTCACACAGCCTCGTGCAACATGCCTGAGCTTCTGCATCTCTGGCCATGCTTTTTCTTATGCAAACACACATAAACAGGTGCACACAGCCAGAAGGAGCACGAAGAGACAGAAGGCACAGACTTGCACTGAGAGCTATTTGCATACGCTGTTAAAATATTAGAAATTTGCATTAAAAAAGAGGTTTGGAATGGTTTAATTGAGCAAGCGGGAGGAGGAATTATTCATCTTTAAAGAGAGGAAGAGAAACAAATGGGAGGGAGACCGCTGCGGGGAAGAGTGGGACAAGGAAGAAAATTCACATTCCCTGAGAGCTCTAGAGGGAATAGACAACTGAAGGAGGAATGGAGAGGGAAAGAGAGATATATAAAGCTGAGTGTTAGCAAACGAGAGAGAGAGATTGTGCCCATTGTGTCAGGAATAATGCGTCCCACACAGCTAAAAGGTTTGCGCCCCAGCCGTAGGCCACCATGACCATTACAATATGAAAGGGCTGAAATCTATGCAGTGAAAAGACGCACTCGAGGGAGGGGAGCGGCCCACGCTCTGGCGCCCAGGAAGATGCTGTCATTTCTAAGCTGGCCATTGGCTGTTGCCTTCTGTTCCTCGACCATCCATCACATGGTTAGAAACGGTTCAGAGTCCATTAGTTGATTTTTTTAGGCAGTATAGTTGTCGGTCCAATTTTCAGTGAATGTGACCCTGTTTAATTAAACTGAGGGTTGAGACTCGCAGACAAACTGCTTTTGGACATCGCTGTGACAAGATGCAGTAATATCTTATAATGAGTCCCCTGTTGAGAATCTAAACTTCTCATTTGGCTCATCTGCTGCATAACTTAATGATGTGTGCATCATTTTATTACTGTTCTCTTTGGAGCTTTATTGGATAAAACACAAAGAGGCCTACATATTAATCTGTCTGTCTTCTACACCCTGCTCACATGTGTGGGAGATATGATGTCAAACCAATCTGAGGTTTTTAATCACAATCAGGATCAAGAGCTGATTAGGCCTCGTAGACTTCTGCTTTTTTTCTCATTTAATGTATCGTCGGCCTGTTTGATTTGGCGTTGGCTCATGTTGACATGTTTTTGTGAGCATTAGATAAAAACACTCATCTCCTCATGAGGAAAGACTCACTGCTTTATCCACATCAACCAGAACGAAATGAGCATATGATCACACATATATGCTTTTGTGCGGGTCTATTGCTCGCATATCAACGGCTTTGTTCCATCGATCCAGCCTCACTAGCACCACAGCGCCGAGAAGATGAAAAGGCGTTTGACCCGGCTCTGTTGCTGGGCCTTGTTAAATAGCAGGGGATTTTATTGATTACATTGCAGCAGCACAGCCACTTACCCAATCCAGTTGTCCAGGCATTGACAGCTCCACTGTAGAACAAGTCTCCACTGCCCAGGTGACCCACAGGAATGCCAGGATGTCAACATGGGTGACAGCTTGTGTGTGTAAGTGCATCTCGAGTCTGCTAGTGTGTGTGCCATAGCAGACACGAGCGCGCGCGCACGACCCTGTGAGTGCGCACGGACGTGGCTGCAACAAGAAATCGATAAACCCCGGGGTTAATAGCGAGGAGGAACTGGCTCACCAGCTCTACTAACAAACATCACGCTGTTAGCATAACCTCAGTCCACCTTCTTCCGATGGAAATCCACTGGCATTGATTATAAAACTCACACTGCAGTTCAGTCTTGTCATGACTAGCTTATCTCTGGCTATATGAAGACCATTCTGTCACTCTGTCGTCTAATACAGGCGATTTAAGAGTTGACCCTCGAAAATCTGAATACACCAAGGACAGAGGGGCGACGACAGCGTGAGGATTATACAAATCTATTTTAAAAGCCAGTCTTCCTGGCAGCAGGGTTGTATTGTGAGCTGAGCTGTTGTCTTTCCGTTTGGAGACCCTGGTTTAAAACCCCCACAGTGGCTCATTACGGTGGTGTTTTTGAATTAGATTTGGCAGAGATCACTCTCTGGCTGAACAGTAACATTGTGAATCATATTTACTCTGACATTAGTATAAAAAAGCAAACTTGAACTCATCTGTTGATGACTGAGCTGCAGCCAGGCTATATTATATAAATCATGTTCCTCATTTGTCCATCAGACACACAGAAAATAAACTAAAAGTAAAATATGTGAAAAACACGGTAATTGGTGATAGTTAGGTCTACTGCTGTCCTTCTCTTAAGTTGTAACTATAGAAAATGAAATTAGAAGTTTTTTATTCCACTTCTATTGTCCTGCAGTTACAGTCCCTAACCAGTAGAATGCCAGAGGTTATTCCCAGTCAAAATATTTATTTTTATTTCCAAGAAAAAATATAAAAACAAGTGTAGAATAGAAAAATATTGATTTTGTGAAGTGGATATAGAGCAAATCACTGTATTGTTAAAGTATTCCTATGTGCTGTTACATGTTTGTCACTATACATCATGTCACTTTATGTAACCATTACATAATCCTCAATTCTAACAAGTGAAATATTATTTAAAGTCAAATGAATGTTAAACAGCTTTGAATGTTGTTTAAAACCCTAAAACAAACTGAAACATACTCAGCCTCATCATCAGGATGGTGTAAAGTTGATGAACCGCTCTATCCATATCTTTTACTAACTTTATTTTTAGACTAGCATTGGAGAACTAGCATACCTTCAAACAGAGTCAGGCTAGCTGTTTTACCACTGCTTGCTTGCTTTTCTCATGCTAGGCTAAGCCGACAGCATGGTGGTTGTAGCTGTTTATTTAGCATGTTGATTTGTTTCTCTCACTCTTGTCTGTCTGTATGTTTGTGGATCACAAATCTTGAGAAGCATTAATCTCACCTTCTTCACACTGGGCACATTTACACATTAAGGACCCAGTAAGTGCATTATTGAATTTGGTGCGATTTTAACATGTAATATGTTCAATATTATTAAACCTGCTCTGTAACAACGTCACATTTGAGCTCCAATTAAAAAAAAAAGAAGTTAGTTACACTGTCAAAACAGTTCCGCAGAGTGAAGACTGGATGATGGTTATGTAAATCGGACCTCACAGGTTCTCCGTCAGTTTGTAGGGGGAATGTGAGTGGGAGAGCAGAGACTGTGGGTGTGTGGGGGTTTATCTGTAGGAGGTCTGACTGAGAACAGTGACAGGACTGATGTGTAATTAGAGCCACTTAAGTGAAAACTCGGTTCGGAAGTGGTGCAAAGATTACAAAGCCAGGACTTGTTGTTGCTGGGAGAGAACAACAGGTTTAAAGTTACACAGCACCTTCTTCTTGTCAGTCTCTGTAATTATTGTTTTTAACATTTGACTTTAATTTATTTTTAAACCAGGTTTGTGGTTTGATTTTAAGGTCACACTGAGCCGACAAAGACGCAACATTAAAATGACAGGAATATTACTTTTTTCCTGTTCTCCCTGTGGGTGTCGCATGATTGACAATGAAATCTTAATACATCACTCATAAAAATAAAAACACTTTCAATCATGATCACAGTGAGTTAGAACAAAAACAAAATAAAAGGTTAATACAGAATATGTTGATTTCTCCTTTTTCATCATGAAATTAAACTTTGCTAAATTGAAAACTCAATTTAACTTCTCACACAAACAAAGTAAAACCCTAAACCAACCTTTGTGTTTCTATTCAATCTTCTCTTCCTCTTTTTTCTGCTCGTGACGAGGGACGCGCTTTTGTCTGTTAATCCATGTTCGAATGTGTATGAATTCACTTTGCTTCCTCAACTCTTAAGAAGAAAAAAAGACAAATGTTATTTAAAAAACGACTTATCTTGGTCTGCCAGCTTAGTTCTGTGTAAGCCTCCGAGCACTGAGAATAAGAGGAGAGGAGTGGATCACCGAGCTTTCTCTCTCTCTCGGCTGTTTCCTCTTGGCCTCGCTGACAGCTGGAATAAAGTCTTAATGCACAAGGCCACGCTTACACTTGTCAGTCCAACCTGAATTCCTGAGATCTTACCATAAACATTTGATGTTGTGCCACCATAGTGCAGCATGTCCACACTTGGCCTGTCAGTGTGCGATACACGTAGGTTTGCTTTTAATCCGTGTTTCCACTCTTTCTGTATTTGACTTGGCAACAGTTCTCCCAGAGCATATCGTACCTAATCTATAATGAATTCAGGTCATGCTAGCTGGGCTTTCCATCAGTGGATTTTATCCTGGTAGTAATGAGCAAATTTAAATTTAAAATTTGGCAACTTCCCCATGTGTTTGTCTTGTAAATGTTGCTACACGTTTACTTTTCCATTTGTTCTCAGATAAAAGCACTGAATAAGGCAGAAATTAGATAATTATAAATCCCTAACACAGAATTGTTTAATGACTAATGCAGCGTGAGCCTGTATCAATGTTGAGTCGTTAATTGAGTTCTTGGATGCCAAAGAAGATCAGAGCTACAAAGACGAGACAATGGGATGGGAAAGGTATTTTAATTTGTACTGACAAGGACTTTAAAAAATAGAGACAAACATAAGTGCACTCACCTCGCTCCTGGTCTTCAGTAAACAGACACAGATTATGATGATGTGATGAAATTATTGGAAGGATGTGGAATGGGTTAGGAAAGAACCCAGTAAATGTTGTTGAGGATGCGGATCGGGGGCAGATTCAGGAATTTTTTCTCATTTTCTTTCACATTGCGAGACATTTTCTTGATTTCTCAGAGAATAAGATCTTGATTTTTACGAGTGTGGAATTTGGTGCAGATCCAAATAAAAACCCAGATCTAGTGGCTTTAAATGGGTTTAAGGGTTATGTACTCCACTCTAGTTTTACTCTGCATTTTGTTTTTTGTTGAATTAATTGATTGTGTTCGTCCAGGTTGTACAATTTCCAGAAATAAAGTCACACAGTTTTCCAAACAGGAGAAGAAAACATGCAAGCCTTCATTTCTGGATTAATTTTGAGCAAGATGAGAGAGAATACTTAGCATGCAAAATATGAATGGTTGTTTTGGTGACATAGACGACCATACAAAGAAAAAAAGTGATGTTTATGTTAAATATTAAAACATTGAACGACATGTTCTCCTCTCACTCGCTACAGGTGTCTGTCATGTGTAAATGGAAACTTCCCATGTCACTGGTGCAAATATCGCCACATGTGCACGCAGGATGCCAGCGACTGCTCCTTCCAGGAGGGACGAGTCAACACCTCTGAGGTGAGAGTTAAACACACACACACACACACACACAAAATTTAAAAATTCACTCTCAAAAATCCATTAGCACATGTAGTAAATTCACAAGTGTTAATAGATGAGTGCACCACACACACAAACAGCTGCAGCTGCAACCTGTATGTGTGTGTGTGCGTGCATGTGTGTGTGTGTGTGTGTGTGTACGTGTGCTTGTGTGTGCGTGCGTGTGTGTAAACGAGTGCCGTCATGAGTGGCCCAGCAGCAGCTGTTGTACTCCAAGCAGAGCTGGATTTATTTACTTATAAACAAGGCAGGGTGAATGAGTGTGCAAATGGCGGCTGGCACTATGCTCTCAAATGTTATATTTGCATGAAAGGCAACATTGATCCATGAACTCACTGCCTTTCACAGTTCCTCTGTCTCCATGTACATCTGTAACTCTCACCGCCGCTCATGCAAACACGAAAGTAACTACGACAAAGACTTCAGCTTTTGTTGTTTTCAGAGAAATCCCTTCTCCAGGCACGTAAGATGACAGATATTTTCCCCTCCTTATTTCTCCCCTTCTCTTCCCTCACCTTTCTTTGTCACCTTACAGACCTAACATACAGTGAGGAGGTGTAAATATGAATGTGCAGGTTTGTCTGCGTACAGGTGTTTTCTCCGGTTTGTATGTGTGTATATACTCTGTCTATACATGTGTTAGCGAGTGTAAATATACGTGTGAACAATATCTTATTCAGGACATTAGCTGCATGCGTTGAGGGAATGAGTTTTGTGTATTTAATGATGTTGAATTGAGCAAATCGGACAGTATTTGTTTGTGTGTGTGTGTGTGTGTGTGTGTG